CCGGTCCCCACCAGTCTATTTGACCCACGTGCTTCAGCTGATATTTTAACCTCCAATCAACCCCCACTTTCTCCTTAATTAATTATTAATTATTTCTCCTGCTCCCTCAAACTACCCAGATGTCCTCCGCCTCTTCCCTTCTCCTCTTCCTCTTCCTCTCCTCCGCCGCCTCCGCCACCACCGCTGGCGACATCTCCGACCTCCTCCGCCTCGCGAGAGGAGACTCCGACCTCCTCCTCACCATCCGTCGTCAGATTCATCGCCACCCTGAGCTCCGCTTTCAAGAACACAACACCAGTGCCCTTATCCGCCACCATCTCGACCTCCTCGGGATCCCCTACTCCTACCCCGTCGCCGGCACCGGCGTCGTAGCCACCGTTGGATCCGGCGAGCCCCCCGTCGTCGCTCTCCGTGCTGACATGGACGCCCTCCCTCTCCAGGTTAATTTATTCGAAGCTTCTTTGATTTGAGGTTAGGGTTTTGATGGGTTTTGTGTGAAAGTTTAGGAAATGGTGGAGTGGGAGCATAAGAGTACGGTGGACGGGGTGATGCATGGGTGTGGGCATGATGCACATGTCGCGATGTTGCTCGGAGCTGCGAAGTTGCTGAATCAGAGGAAGGACAAGCTGAAGGTAGTGAATTTTTTCGATTTTGAGTGTAAAGTTTTGTTCTTTTTGATTTTGAGTGTAAAGTTTTGTTCTTTGGGTAGTAGAAGTTGGTTGTGCTTAGTTAAGAGATTTGATCAGGGACAAATTTCATTGTTAATTTACTGAATAGTTCCTCATTTACCGAGTAGACTATATGATCTTCAACTAGCATTTGCTCTCGATCGATTGGAGGTGACTTTGTCAGGGTGATTTTAGTGTAAACTTACAACTGACATGATTTAGGTCTGTCTGTCTCCAGTTATAAATTAATCCATGTATCAGCATGCTCATGTGTATGAAAGCAGAAGTACACAGGTTCAGTTAGATGATGTCAAAAAAGAGAGAGAAAAACCTGTCCACCAAAAACAGAATCTTTCTTTTCTTCCTTGTTTCTTTGAGCTTATTGAATAGTTTTCTTTGTTAGATCTAAATCAAAACTTAAGATCTAAAACCATATAGCCATGATTAATTCAGAGAGATTAACAATAATTTAAAAGAGCGGAAGCTTATACCTGAATCCATAGATTGATCTTGATTTTGGGTTTTGGATCTTCTAACCTTAGGGTTTCTCTAAAACTGAATTTCTCTAACTAGATAGGGGTGTAGAGAATTAGAGAATGTAACCCTAGGTTAGGGACCATAACCCCTTATTTATAGATGTTGTACTTTTGTAATTTAGCCCCTCAATAAATCACAATTACAACCTGGTATCTGCACATATAACCCCATGACTTATTTAAATACCAAATTAACCCAACTTAATTGATCACTTTAGTGGGTTATCCTGAAAGATAGCAATACACATTGATTAATCATATGTGCCCACAAATAGATTTATTAGATTAAATCCAACAATCTCCCACTTGGGCACCATATGATTCCTTAAATTGTGTATAACCTTATGAGCTCAAAAATTGCTATCACTGAAATGGTATTTCCGAACAATCTCGTCCATTGACTATATCAATATAGGATCAAAGCGGCCTTCGTCACATTTATCGTGACTCGACCCATCAATGGTCACATATACCAATACAATCAAACGACATAGATCAATCATGGATGTGCAGCATGAAAATTACATGCAATGTGATCAGTACATGTCTATTTTCAACTGGTCCTCCTTAGTGAGGTCAAAACCAAACATAATGTAACAGAGTGTCTTAACTGAAAACTTTATTCTGATCAGACAATACAAACAAACATAAAGCACCACAAATACAAACTCCCACTAAAACATAATATCCTCAAATAATACCACACCCATATGAGCAGTATGCTCATGAAAGACCTTAGGTGGCAATCCCTTAGTAAGAGGATCAGCTAACATGGAGTTTGTCCCAATGTGCTCTATGGATATCTGTCCACTCTGTACCCTTTCTTTCACAACCAGGAACTTAATGTCAATATGTTTTGACTTAGTTGAGCTCCTGTTGTTATTGGAATACATTACTGCAGATTTATTGTCACAATATAACCTTAGTGGTCTTTCAACATTTTCCAAAATGCGCAGTCCCGTGACAAAATTTCGCAGCCATATTCCCTGATTGGATGCCTCATAGCAAGCTACAAATTCTGCTGCCATAGTGGAGGAAGCTACTAGTGTTTGTTTGACACTTTTCCATGATATAGCTCCTCCTGCTAACATATAAATGTAGCCTGATGTAGACTTCCTGCTATCTTGGCATCCAGCAAAATCAGAGTCCGAATACCCAATGACCTCTAATTTCTCTGATTTTCTGTATGTGAGCATGTAATCTTTTGTTTTCTGAAGATACCTCATAACCCTTTTGACTGCTATCCAATGATCCATACCAGGGTTGCTTAAGTATCTGCCTAACATCCCAACAATGTACGCAATATCCGGACGCGTACATACCTGAGCATACATTAGACTTCCTACAGCCGAAGCATAAGGAATCTTCTGCATTTCCTGAATTTCAAGGTTACCTTTAGGGCACTGATTGAGACTAAACTTGTCTCCTTTAGCAACAGGGGTGTCACCTGGTCTGCAATCTTGCATGCCAAACCTTTTAAGTACCTTATCGATATAGCTCTTTTGTGATAATCCAAGAATACCCCGAGAGCGATCTCGATGTATCTGGATCCCTAATATAAAAGAGGCGTCCCCAAGATCTTTCATCTCAAAATTCTTTGATAGAAATCTCTTGGTTTCGTGCAACATGCCTATATCATTAGTGGCAAGCAAGATGTCATCCACATACAGAACCAGAAAAATATACTTACTCCCACTGAACTTGTGATATACACAGTCATCAACAATGTTCATCTCAAAACCGAACGAGATAACTATTTGTTGAAACTTATGATACCATTGACGAGGAGCTTGCTTGAGTCCATAGATGGATTTCCTTAATTTGCAAACCATATTCTTTGGGTCTCCTGACACAAAGTTTTCTGGTTGCACCATATAAATCATCTCATCAATGTCTCCATTGAGAAATGCAGTCTTAACATCCATCTGATGTAACTCAAGATCATAATGAGCAACAAGTGCCATGATTATTCTGAAAGAGTCTTTCGATGAAACCGGAGAGAAAGTCTCTGTATAATCAATGCCTTCCTTTTGAGTATAGCCTTTAGCCACAAGACGCGCCTTATACCTCTCCACATTACCGTTTGCATCCCGCTTGGTTTTAAAAATCCATTTACAACCAATTGGTTTTGCACCTTCTGGCAATGGGACAAGTTCCCAAACCTTATTGTCTTGCATAGACTTATACTCTTCATTCATGGCATCAATCCACTGTTGAGAGTTAGAACTTTTCATGGCCTGAGAGAAGTTGATTGGATCATCTTCTAACATTCCACTACTTTCCTCATGTTCTTGGAGAAATACAATATAATCATCCGGAATAGCATTTCTCCTTTCTCTCGTGGATCTCCTTAATGGCACTGGTTCTTGAGGTTGTTGAGTTTGTTCTTCTGGAACAGGGAGTTGTTCAACATTATCATCTTGAGGTTCCGGATTTACTTCTTGAGCAACAACAGGTATAGGAACCTGAATATTGTCAAAAGTAACTGTATGGATTGGATCTGAAGCCAATTCCTCCTCAAAACTAATGTCTCTAACCTTATTTCTCCCCCCAAACTCAACATCCTCAAAGAATGTTGCTGTTCCCGTCTCAAAAATATTCCTTATAGTGGGATCATAAAACTTATAGCCCCTAGAGCGATCAGGGTACCCAATAAAGTAGCTGCTAACTGTTTTGGAGTCCAATTTCTTTTCATTTGGCCTATAAGGCCTTGCCTCAGCTGGACATCCCCAAATATGTAAATGCTTTAAACTGGGCTTTCGACCAGTCCAAAGCTCATAAGGTGTTTTAGCAACTGCTTTACTTGGTACTCTATTCAGAATGTAAGCTGCTGTCTTAAGTGCTTCTCCCCAGAGTGACTCTGGTAAAGAAGAATGAGCAATCATACTTCTTACCATATCCTTAAGAGTCCTGTTTCGTCTTTCAGCTACACCATTCATGCTAGGTGAACCCGGCATAGTGTACTGTGGGACGATACCGCATTCCTCTAGGTATCTAGCAAATGGTCCTGGACGTTGTTCACCTGAACCATCATATCTACCGTAGTACTCACCACCACGATCAGATCTGACGGTTTTAATTCTTCTGTTGAGTTGATTCTCAACTTCAGCTTTATAGGCTTTGAACATGTCCAGAGACTCAGATTTTTCATGAATAAGATATAGGTGCCCATAACGTGAGTAATCGTCTATGAATGATATAAAATATTGTTGACCATTCCAGGATTCCGTAGGGAATGGCCCACAAATATCCGTATGTATCAATTCTAAGACATCCGAAGATCTGTTGGCACCTAATCTCTTCACTTTGGTCTGTTTTCCCTTGATACATTCAACACATACGTCGAAGTCCGAAAAATCAAGGGAATCCAAAATGCCATCAGACACAAGACGCTCAACTCTACCTTTTGAGATATGACCTAAGCGCTTATGCCATAATGTCGCCGAATTTTCCTTATTTAATTTACGCTTAGTACCACGTGATTCCACATGCAAGGATTCATTGTAAGAAGCAATTGTATCAAGCAAATATAGGTTGTCATAAATACTCAAGTAACCGGTTCCCACAACATTTGAATTAAAAGATAAACTGAATTGACTGTTTCCAAATGAACAAGAATAACCTGATTTGTCCAATACAGAAACAGAAACCAAATTCCGTCTAAAAGACGGTACTACAAAAGTATCTTTTAAATCCAAATAATAACCAGTTCCTAACAACAACCTAAAGTGCCCAATTGCTTCCACATCTACCGATTGTCCGTCGCCCACAAAGATGTGTCTTTCAACATCACTTGGCTTTCGGTAGCTCAGGCAACCCTGCATAGAAACACTTATGTGAGTAGTAGCACCAGAGTCTAACCACCAAGTGTTTCTAGGTACTGAAGCTAAATTAACCTCAGAACAGACCAAAGCAAGGAACGTACCCTTATTATCACGCCAGGCGTGATATTTTGTACAGTCCTTCTTTACATGTCCAGGCTTCTTACAGAAGAAACAACCCTGATTATCCTTATGTTGTTTCTTCTCAACTGGACCCTTAGCAGCTTCCTTATCATTCTTCCTTTTCTTGCCCTTATCCTTAGAGGCATAGGCCAAATGAGCACTTTCTGTCTTATCTTGCTTCAACCTGTCTTCTTCTTGCACACAGTATGAAATGAGCTCATTTAGAGTCCATTTCTCCTTTTGACAGTTATAACTGACCTTAAATTGGTTAAACTGTGCAGGAAGAGACAACAAAACCAGATGCACTAATAACTCGTCACAAAGATCGAGTTTAAGTGCCTTAAGCTTTGAAGCAATATGAGACATTTCCATAATGTACTCCCTGATATTTCCTTTGCCCTTATACTTCATTGAAATCAAGCGAGCTAAAAGCGTGCTTGTTTCTACCTTATCGTTTTTCGCAAAACGCTTCTCAATTTCGGCAAGGAAATCTTTAGCCTTAGTAATCCCTTCGGATTCTATGCCCCTGAAGGCTTCCGGAACGCCGCGCTTAATGATCATAAGACTCATGCGATTTGAACGCTCCCACTTCTCATGCTCCTTCTTTGCATCAGGAGTGCTATCCGCATTGAGAGGTTGGGGTTGTTCAGTTCTTAATGCATAGTCAAGATCCATGCAGCCAAGAACAATTAATATGTTCTCTTTCCAA